GATGTGCTTTTGGCAAAAGCTGTTGATCGCACTTGCCTCAAAGTATCAACCCTGCTTGTTGTCCTCCTGCTGGCAATGGCGGCGTTGCACCACCGCAGGTGCACGGGTTTTCAGTTGCAATGCATTGACCACAGACACTCGCTCACTAGGGCGCCAAATTCCGCGTGTATCATGCCTCCACATGCGCTCCCTCCCTCCACGTAACGATCACGGGATGCCCTTCTCCCAAAATGTAGTGTGACCCCCCATTCCGCTTTGATCACAAGTTGCTGAAAACATGCATCAATTGAGGAATAGTGCTTCTACTGAGGAACTTGAGGATACTTCGGTCCTCTCAGGAAGTATTCAGTTGCCACTGCAGCTTGCTTATCCAAGCCAACCCACCGCGCCAATAGATTGTGCTGCACCTGTCAGAGCGCCAGCAGCCCTGCGGTCGTGTCTGACAGGGCAACTGCCCCCTGGCGGCTTCTCCACGGGTTCTCCCTCCTCGCGTCACTCTACTTACCCTTTTTTTTTACCGGACCAACGGAACCCTCACCGGAGGTCACATGCCAGCCACATGCCCGCCTACACCGGTTTGTAAAATGCACTCAAGCAGTCGTTGCCCCCAAACCGCCAACCCCACCCAAGACAGCCCGTGAAGCGCAGCCTCCGCAAGCCGGCGCACAAGCGCCTGCCGTCCGCTTGGCGCGGCGGCTCTTTGGTCGCCTCCAGACATGGCGTCGCAGCAGCAGCAGCAACAGGGGCAGAGCCCGCAGAGCGTCATGTCTCCGCACTACCAGGGCGCTGCCCAAGGTGGGGTGGGGTTGGGAGGGCTGAGATTTGTGACACAGCGAGAAAGTAACAGGGGGCACAAAGGCGACCCCCTCCTAGGCAAGTGTGTGTGAGACTCTTTTCCATGCTGGGAAAAGATGATGGAGAGCCTCCGAGGCGAAAGGCGGGTGGTGAGTGGTGGGGAAATGGGCAGTCCCCAGGGCTGGCACCGCGCTGAACTGCGTTTGGAATCGGGATTTGAATTTCGGGGATCGACGGGGGTGGGGATTGCCAGCGCTGCGGGGCGGCGTGGCTGGTAGAAATCTGAGGAAGAATTCGGAATGGGCGCCTTGGAAGTTGACGGATTGGGGGGAGGCAAGATTTGTTATAGAGAGAGAAAGAAACAGGTCATGGAAAGGGCACCCCCTCCTGAACAAGTGCATGCGAGTCTCTTCTCCCCTTCTGTGAAAAGATGACATCGAACCTCCGACGCAAAGTTGGGGGAGGTGGCTTGGGCGGCGGTACGGCGCGGCGGTTTGCGAGGCATTGCCGACTGTGCTCGCTGAGAGGCGCGATTGGATTTGTGACTTTGGCCGATTGCCGGGCGCGCATGGCTGGTGCAGGGGAGCCCAGCCTAGCGGAGGCGCACGGGGGGCCGGCAGGCCAGCTGGGTGCCCGCCGCGCGGCGCGGGAAATGGATGATAGACGGAGGTGCACCGGTGGAGGGGTGTGTGGACAGAGGCCTTGTGGGCGTTTCTTGGGTGTTTGTGGGCGCTTCGCGGCGCGCCAATCGACGCAGAGGGGCGAAGGCTGGCGCTATTTGGGTGGCGTCCGGGGGGTGCTGTGCTGCTGTCGCGGGGAAAGGGGCAATGCTGTTTGGGTGCGGCTGCCCGTAATCGTCTGGAAAGTGCAGGGGCTGGTGTTCCCGTTGTTAGCGAAATGTGCACCACTGATTTCAGAAAAATGGGGGGAAGGGGGGGAATATATGGATGTTGCCACGTCGCTGGACAACACGGGGGGCGAAAGGGCGGGTTCAAAGGCGACGCTAAGCCGCAGGCATTCATGCCCAATTGATGTTGGGAGGCGGTGGTGACTGCTGTCGTTCCGCTGCTGTGCCAGCGGAGCTGGTTTTTGCGGAAAGGTCCCGTCGATGACGATATGTGCGCTGTGCATCGCAGAGAGCCCTCCCTGTCTTACTCAGTATTTGTGTATTTGATCTCGGCGACTTCAGCCGCGTTTTGAGGCTCGTAAACGGTGAAAATTTCCGCCTGTGTGGCGTGGAGATGGCTGGCACGGTGCTGTGAGTGGGACACACGGAGTGCTTGAGCTCTGCTCAATTTTCTTGTCAAAAGCAAACACCAGAATTCACACGAAGTCGTGCAAGCGATGTGTTGTCCAAAGCGTACAAGAGTGCATCAAACAAAGCTCAACATAGCAACAAACCACAAATTGAGCCCTTGGCCTCGAGTGTACGTGGCTTTGTGGTGATGGTTGGGGAAGAAGCTGCACGGACGTCACAGGCATGGATGTCACAGATACCCCCCTGGCCTCGTGATTGGGCATTTGTCGATCTGAGAGGGGCACTTCTTGTCACCAGATGGCGTCTGCAATCAGCTGGGCTTCCTTCTGGGGTATGGACTTGGAGTCTTGAGTTTTGATTGAGCTGCTGTTTGACAGGCTGAATTTTGTTCTTTCGTTGCAGCTGGTCCCCAGAGTCAGATACGGTGTGGCAGGTGTGGCATCCTGCTGTTGTACCCACAGGTGTGACACACCCCTTGATCAACGACAGGTTCCATTGCAGTTGGCAAATTGCAACACGAAAAATTGCCACCTGTTTCCATCTAGGTACTCAGGAGCTCATCTATTGTCCTTTCTGAAAACAGTGGAATGACTTAACTGCAACATGTTCTATATTTCACGATTTATGACAGATGAATGCCACTGCAGGTGTGAGGCGATGTTGGGAACGCCACACAGTGTGCTTATTGCTGCTTGCTGTTCCTGATGCACTATGTGTTGTGGTGTGAATAAGAGAGTCTCAACAACTTGAATGGGGTGGGGTGTGGTATGGTGGGGGTGAGTGCATGTGTTCCCACATGCAGTTTGCTTGGATACAACGGTAGTGACACATATGGTTGCTGAGTTGCAACACTGAGATAGCCTACAGTGACCTCACAACCCCCAACTCCCAACTCCCTTGTCAACAGAGTTGCTGATGGTGTCATTTAGCAAGTTGCTAACTGCAGGACACCTGGACACCCTGTTGCCTTCAGGGAGCTATGTGTAATAATGTGCCTTGTATGGTTGCACACACATTCCCATTGTTACACCAGGGTACTTGCAGCAATGCATTGCAGAATTTCAGCAACAGGGCTGGCCCTGCTTTGGTGCAGCCAAGTGCATGTTAACACATGCTGTAACTGCCTCTGCTGCTGGCTGTTGCCCATCTGGACAGTTGACATTATACGATCTCCTTTTCCCTACTAGCTAGTTTATTTGCTTATTATCCCAATGTACACGTGTTGGTTATTGAAACGACTGAGTGAATGCATCCTTACACAAATGCGCTAGTAACGTGAAGATGCCTTGGTTACCCTTGGAATCTAGACTTTGAGGCAGTATGAGATTCCAGTGTCCTGCTGCCATGGGTTGTGGGAGTTGTGAGGGTCTGTGGGGAAAGTTTTCACAACTCATTGTGGGCATCATCTGGGGATTTGAACATATTTGCCGTGTTGACAGATCGTTGCCCGTTGCATGGGCACATCGGTGTGAAGAGCACATTAGAGTCGACATTTTGGTTCCGTGAACGTGCATGAAAGATTCACACAGCCTTGTTTCTAGACTACATGGGGAGGCATACAGTCAGTGCTGCGTGCTCTGTCCCAATTGGTGCCAACTATGTTGAGGTCATGTTCGTGTACCCTGAGCCTCAAGTTGGCCTACAGCAAACAGCGTACGTCATTCTTATCCCTTCCAGCTCACACCCAGCAAATGATGAAACCCTTGTGGGATGACTATCCTGTCCAATTCTGTTTTGTTCTGATCAACTCTTACCCATTTTTTCTCTTCGCTGCAGGGTGCTTCTAATGTACGTTGCTCACAATGTGGCCACATAACGCCTGTCACCATCGCTGGAGGTGAGTCTTTGGAATCGAAGTACCTGAAATATCAAGACCAAAGAGCATAATGTCTTGGCACCATGCCAGTAGATCTCTACTTTGTCCACAATCTGGTATGCCACTCCTGAACAGGACCAACACGGCTCACCTGAAGCACTGGAAGCAAATGGGCGGTCCTAGTGTTGTTCTTTGCTGATGTGAATAGCTCCACATTCCCGTGCAACGCGTTCCAAGGTAGTAGACATGGCAAATTGGCCCCAAGAAATTCCTGAATGTGTGGAGAAGCATGTTTAGTGAACAGAATGCTCTACAGCAGTTTTGATGTATCTGCACCAATAGAAGAAGGCTACAACAACAACATATTTGAAAGAGATGGTTCCATAGTTTGTGTGCCCTGTACTACATCGGAATTGGGTCATCGCCCAACTCGATTCGACTTGCAGAGTGGGGTCCTGAAGTAGGGGTGAGGCTTGTAGGATATGTTTTGTAGGGTTTGGAGTTGAGTTTGTGTTTTAAGCCTTGTCTTTCAGAAAAATGACGAGAAGTATAGCTGGGGGGGGGGTGATTGTCCTCATTTCTAGTCGATTAACGCAGCAAAAGCTAAGGATTCTTTGTTGGATTGTGCATCCTGTGAGCGGTTAACCCCGGCAGCACTGCCATCCCTGCCTTTTTACTGCACCTACCAGTTTCAGTGGATCTGCTTGCGACGCAATCATTTGCATGCAGACTCCAGAACAGGAGTCCAGTTAGGATGCCATTTGTGTTTTTCATTGTTGTGGCATTGTACTACGTTTCTACCTGTCTTTCTACCTTTCTTCCTGGACAACTGCAGACCTAGTTAATCTTGCTTCTGGGCAGTTGAAGGCATGGAACATTTTGACTGTTTCCCAAGTAATTCCTCAATTGTTGGATTTGCTCAAGACAGGACGGAACACTGCTAACTTTAGAATTGGGATCAACAAACAATAACTGTGGCACCGTGCAGGCGACAATGGTAACTGAGCATTGCCTTGTTGGCTATTGAACTTTGCTGAACCTGTTTGTTGCTGGCAGCATGTGCTGACTTGGAGTTTGTGTTGCCGGACGACAGGTCCAGAGAGCGCCCAGCTTGTGTGCAGTCACTGTCGAATGCTGCTTGTCTACCCACGGGGTGCAAGCACCGTACAGTGTTCAATCTGTCACACCCTAAATCCTGCATCTCAGGTGAGTTTCGATTGTGTTGCCATTACCCTCACCAGTCAGTGCATCAATGGAGGACAGTCAAACAACGTTGACAAGGCTCAGGAAGTCCATGTTGATGGCATTTGGCAAAACTGGAATAATCAGTTCGTGCTTGCAGCTGTTGCACATTGCTGGGTGAATAAGTTTATGGCAAAAAAATGCAGCACATGGTTTGGAGCTATTTCTGGCTTCTCAGTGTTGCAGTCTGGCTGGCAGTGGCTCCTTTCAGTTCCTGCTTCACTGTATCAAAGATCATGGCTATGTCACCATGGCAAATTGTACAGATTCTAATCAGTCGTCAAGGTTGTTGTTTGTAAGTGCACCTTAGTTATCCTTGTCTGCAGGCTGCCAACACAGCTTCACATCGTGTATGCTCGTTCACTGACAGGCTTGGTGGCAAAGTGACTGTAGCGACACGATTCCATGGCATCCTGCAAATAGCCCTGAATCTGATGAATGGATCACAATTGAAATACACTTATGCTGTGCAACACATACAACAGGCTATATTCTGGGAGCTCTCGATTGTGCTTTGCATTATCGCATGCCTGCAGTAACATCTGGCCTCTGGTCAGTGTGTCTTTGCTTCTGTCTGCTATCACTTGAAGGCTGGGTGGCTCAAACACATTGTGGGCTTTTAGAACCTGGCAGCATAGCAAGTGTGATAAACACTCACTTCGGCATGGACTTCCTCAGGTGCAAAGGACAGGCTGTAATGGACAGATAACACAATTCACTGTTTGCTCATGTGTGCAAAGTTCAATGGAGCACCATATCTTTGCCATTTGTGCACCATCATACTCTGGCTCCATACTCATTTTTGACTTTAACCATGTTCGCCATATGCACTGTCCTCACCTTATGTTCACCATATATTCTCTCGAGTCGTCCTCACCATGGGCTTCCCTTGCGGGATCGCCTGCGATGCAACTTTGTGTGCTGCGACTGCTGCAAATGGATACCTGTGCCCTGAGCCCTTGGTCCCATTGCGGCTGTGCGAGGATGTCTTGTCAAACAGTGCCTAAAATAGCTGAATAGCCAAAGGCTTGCAAGTTGATGTGTAGATCCCACCTGTGGCGATGACACTCCCTTGTGACTGCCTGCAGGCAAATCAAGTAGCCCACATTGTGTGTGGCGGCTGTCGAATCACGCTGATGTATGCTTTCGGGGCCCAGTCTGTGAAGTGTGCTATGTGCAACTTCGTGACGCAAGTGCCACAGACACAGGGTCGATGGAACACACCGCAGGCGCCAGCCACAGCTCCCACAGTGACGCCCCCAGGTGGCCCATCATCATCATCTGTGGAGCCCGCCGTTGCGAAGACGACTGTGGTGGTGGAAAATCCTCCGAGTTTGGACGAGGAGGGAAATGAGGTGAGTGCTGCGTGTTGCTCTGGTTTGATTTGTTCTGCCATTTCAGTGCAAAACAATACCTTCACACCTTCTAGTCACATCAACAGTGTGTTTGCTTGCTTGAAGCTCCTAACTCTGCTGCATACCAGCACAAAGAAGAAACAACAGCAGAGAATATCAGAAGGGAGTGAAGAGAATCGGTTTGCATCAGATCGTGTTGTTGCAAACCGTGTGCGAAGGTACTTTTTGCTCTGTTTGGCAACGTAGCGACGTGGGACAATAGAGGGGCTTCTGGACGGGCCAGAGAGTAGATGTCCACAGCCCAGAACATTGAGCTTGCTGGCATGGAGGACAGTAAGTCTCTTGGCATGAAAGTGGGTATAAGAGAGATGGGAAAGCTACCATAGCGACGGCAATCCAATCATGCCCTCTGTGCAAAACATGCACCTCTAGTATGACTGGGTGACTAGGCCCCCCAACCACTGGGGTGCCTTAACCCATCGAGGCGCGTAGCAGGCATTGGCTAAGCCTGATGGAGTTGGCCTTTGAGTGGCATAGCATTGTCCTTGCACCCTCAAGGTGATATGGGGTGGCAACAGTTTCTGGCGAGCTGTTCATATGAGTAGTTTGTCCTCCTTTGTGCAGTCTTAGCTCCTGCATCCATGCCCAGGATGCCGCTCATGGACAATTGGTCGCTTGTAGGTTAGTGTTGCTTCTCTGCTTTTGGAGAAGGAGGCCTGTTGCGGCCTGTGCATGATCAAAAACAACCTGCCAACTGTGGCAACGCAGCGCACATGAAGAGTCTGTGTCCTTTGAGCACTGGAATGTTGATGGGAAGAATGTGGCGCAAGTTGCTGTGCTTCGTTGTTTAGGCCAGTGGTCACTGATCCCTTTTTTAGGACAAAACATGGAACAGATATATCTAGGTGCACTGGTGAGTGTGCCAGACATTGTTGAACAGATACCAGCGCAGCATATCTGGATAATGTAAGATTGTGAGATTTACGTTGGCAGGAGCAGGTTCCATTGCAATGACCGTATCATCGTAGTTCTTTTTCACCACCTGTACTTTGAATCCTTCTCCCAGCTCCTAGCTCAAAGGAGAAGCACACAAGGTTGGTCGCCCCCTGCAGCACTTCCTTGCAATTGTTGTGAACACTGCTTCGTTTGCTTTCAATCCGATGCAGTATTCCTGTCCCCCTATTGCACAAAATAGCTGATATTTTCATCCCTGGCTGACACCGCAGAGCAACACATTGTTGTCATTCAGCCACCAGCAAGGCCATGCTGTTCAGAATGCAGAGTGCTGCCCGTACATCTGAGCCATAGCACTCCTGCTGACAAGTTGAATGTTCTCTCAGGTTCAAAATATTGCCGTGGGAGTGAAAACTGAGAACAACAACCCCAGCTGATGCCATGCCTCAGATCGCCAACAGACAGCCAGGAACTGATGGACACTCTCCCATCTGGGGCCCCTTTTCTCTTGCTGATCCAGCGCCACCTTGACTGGCCCCTCTGGTGTGGCAGTGTCCCCACTCCTAGTGGGATGCTGAATGCGAAACGCGAAGCCACTTTGGTAGCCGGTTGAGTGAGGGCAGCGATGGTGAGCGATTGGTGGATGGCTTGCAGGGAAACTTGGCGACTAAGCAAAATGAACAAGAAGAAGTGTTGCTTTTATGGTTGGGGGGTAGTCTTCCTGTGTTGTTCCAGGCGAAGACAGTGCTGATGAATCGAGAAAGTGGACAGTATTGGATTCAGGGAGGGCCGCTGGGCAACCGCAGTGCAGCTCGTCAATGAATCCAAGTGAGCAATTTCGATGTCCACCGCTCGAGGGCGTTTGGAAGGTATCAGTTGGACAGCAGCTCCTCGGATGGTGGATGGGCAGAGTCGGATGGGTGGGTTCAAGGAAAGAGTGGATTGAGCTATGTCGGGCTGCAAAGCTTGATGGTGGATGGAGTGACTTGATGTGGCTGTCGACTTCACTGCATTTGCCCTTTCAGGACGCAAGAGCGCCCTTGAACCTCTTGGACGACGTTGGCATGTTGACCTGGTGCGCATCGCCACGCTGCAGTAAATGTCAGGGGCGACTGTGGAAGAGTTGATGGAAAGTGGAAGGGAAGCTGAAGGGGAGCTGGAGGGAAGGGCAGTCAAGGGCAAGCTGGGGGCAATTTTTTGTGTTGATGGGGAAGGGGTTGGCGATAGATGATGTTTCGCAGGTCAGGGTGCCGGGGGGTTTTGTGTTGATGGAGCTCAAAGCACCCAGAGGGACTTCAGGAAGCATTCAAGTATGATGAGTCAGAGGCGGTTGCAGATTACCTGCGTCTGAAGCGAAACCTCAGACCCAGGCGTTGATGGGCGACAGTAAACTCAGCGAACTTGCAGCTGCTTTGCTCTCAGTTCTGGGGTGCTTGTGCGTTTAGACGGGAAGGAAAGAAGAACTAGAGGGGATGAAGTAGGGTGGAAGCAAAAAAGGGGGGATAGGCACCATTTCAAGGGTTTATGTGGACGCAGGTCCACCCGCCTTGATTGCCATATGGTTGCAAACAGAATTGGGGTGCAACAGTCCACTGGGCTATTGTGCCAAACGGCCAAAATTTAAGGTGACGGTGCTGCTTGTGCTAATGTACTGACATTGGCCTGATTGGGAGTTGCGGATGTGGCCGCGGGGCCATTGCGCAGTGCTTTACCGCGCTGCATTGCTGTTGCTCATGATGGCAAAGTAGTGCAAATGACAGCAAAGCCACTGCGGTGGCAAGTGTGTCTCTGCAGGCGTGCCGGATACACGTCAAGTGTCATGAATCAAGTGCCCCTTGTGTATGACAACGCCATCGACAAATGGCGTAATGCATAATGGAAAGAAGTTCAAATCATGTAGCCACATCGGCAAAAGGATTTATGCAACGATCAGTGCCATAATGGACATTAAATCACCTTGCACACATACTCGCGCCGCGCTAATGTGTATCGGTCCTGAATCTCCAAACACACGCCTTGCAGGCGACTCTCTCGGCCACCCATCCAGGCGTCACAAAACTAAATAATGCGCAAACCTAATTAGTAAACAACATGACGAAGCGAGCAAACCTAATTAACGTGGAGGCCTCCCAGCGCCTAATATCCCTGATCCCATCTGACACCAGCGATCGGGCACATTGTCAAGCCTCCCAATGGCGATCGTCGAGATGCCATCGAATCGCACCTATCCCCGTGTAGACGAACAAGTGAAAGCCAGGCACTCAATCTCAGTCTCCAAATGTCCCAAATACTTCATGCAAATACAATATACAAGGCTTCTACGCGTACATACACATGGAACAACCTGCATAGCGACACACACTCACACACACACCAGTGTGTTCAACTGGCTGCCCTGTGTCCTGGGTGCCGTATATCATGACAGGATGCAGGGCACATTGCTTCTGTTGCTGTTCCTTATCGAAACAAAAGAATGCGCGCGTTTTATCGAGAAAGGAGTGCGTCTGCACCTCACAACTGTGCCAGACGTCTCGTGTCCGAGCCACGCCATGGCAAACCCCTACCCTGAAGCACCGGTGCCCTAATGCAAGCCACCGCAAACCCTTCCGAGGCAGGCCCCCATATTCCAGCCAAACCAGGCGGACTCCGTCGCACACACCTTGGCTCGCTTGCGCCCGCTCCACCATCACATCCCCGCTTCACTGCTGCCCACTGGAAGCATGCAATCTTGATCAACCTGACTTATCTCATGAGATAGCATCGATCTGAAGTTTAAATAAAATAACACCCTTTCAGAACACATATTAGTACAAGGAAGTACTTCTGAAGTACTGCAAAGTACTGAAACTTATACCACTGTTCCCAAAATCATGGTTAAACGCCTCGGAGCATGCTTCCCCGCAGGTGCTTGCCCCCGGTGAGCCCTGCCCCAGCTTCGAACACCATCTCGAGGCCTTAAGGCCTCCTCCGACGGCCCAAGCGCCACTCATCCTCCAATGCAGCCGCCCACTTCCACAACCCGCATGGCGCAGTCGTTGCACACCATGTCCCTCAGGCAGTGCAGCGCCGCCTGCTCCGACGGCGCCACGGCCTCCAGCCGGTACCCGGCCACCACCCACACGGTGTAAGCGCAAAGGGTGTCCACGGGCCTCAGCCCCTCCCTGGCCGCGCAGTCGCCAGCCTCCTCAGGACTGTCTGCGAAGGCAACGAACTGGGAACCGCACTCCCAGCCGTCCACCACCAGCACGCAGAACTCCGCCGTGGCTTGGCTCACTGGAGCGCCCGAGCATGTTTGCATTGGGGGTGCTACGCGCGTGCTCGGAGTGTCGAAGCCATCGCGGCTTGTGGCCGCTGAGAGGGGGATGCTCGTTTGCGGGGCGCAGGCATCGCCGTGGCAGGTGGGGTGGAGGGGGCAGTTCTCGCCATCGCAGGCTTCTGCAGCAGCGGCTTGGGAGGGAGATGGGGGATTGGCGGTAAGGCAGGCGCCTGTCTCGCACCCGAATTCGCACTCCCGTGCGAGGTCCAATTGGAGGCAGCCGCCGTCGTCGACGGCGCAGCGGAGAACGCCGGCGTCGCCGCAGGTCTGTTCACCGGCGGATGGGCATTGGTCGTCGCAAGCCTCCAGGCACTGACCCTCGTGGCAGCGCTCTGGACAGTCGTGGATCTTCTCAAGTCGGCGGCATCCACCTTCATCAGCGACGCACTGCAGGACTCCACTTTCGTAGCAGGTTTTGTCGCCGGCTGCCTGGCACTGGTGGTCGCAAGCCTCCTGGCACAGGCCCTCGAAGCAGCGGCCCTCGCAGGCGTGCTGCCGCTCCCACCCTCGGCACCCGCTCTCATCAGCCACGCACCGCAGCACTGTACCATCTTCGTCGCAAGTCCTGTCGCCTTCGGCGGGGCACTGTTTCCCGCAAGCGTCCCTGCACAGACCCTTATTGCAGCGAACCGAACAGACGTGCTTCCGCTCCCACTGGCGGCACCCCTGAGCGTCGAATCGACACTCAAACACGCTCCCTCCTCCGCACTTGAGGTCCCCAACTGATGGACACTGCTCGTGGCAAGGCTCCTGGCACTCACCCTTGTGACAGCGGTTTGAACACATCTCTGCTAGTTCCCATTTCCGGCACCCATTGGCGTCGATCACGCACCTCAACACCCCGCCATCCTCGCACTTCAGCTCCCCTGGCCAAGGGCACCGGTCTTCACAATCGCCAAGACACTGCCCCTCCTGGCATCGGTGCGCACACGCTGCCCTGCGTTCCCATTTCCGGCATCCAGCCTCATCAACGACGCACTCAAGCACTCCCGCCTCCCCGCACCTCACGTCGCCAACGGACGGACACTGGCCGCCACAGGGCCCCCGTGGTGCCGTCTGGCACTCCCCCGCCCGGCAGCCACCATCGCACGCATGCCGCGTCGTCCACCTCCTGCATCCAGCCTCGTCAACAGCACATTCAACCACCCCCGCCTCGGTGCAGATCCGCTCCCCTACGGACGGGCACTGGTCCATGCAGTACCCCTCACACCGCCTCCTGTGGCAACGGTCTGGACACCTCTCCCTCTCCTCCCACACCCTGCACCCAACGGCGTCGACCGCGCACACAGCCACGGCTCCATCTCGGCACACAGCCTCGCCAACGGACGTGCACTCGGTTCGGCATTCCTCATAGCACTGCCCCTCGTGGCAGCGATCTTTGCACGCGTGCAGCCTCTCCCACTTGAGGCACAAATTCCGATCTTCTCGGCACTCAAACAGGTCTCCACCCCGGCAGCCGCGAACGCCATCTTCCTCGCACTCCTTCGGGCAGTCGTGCGGCGGCAGAACGTAAAACGCCACACCCTCAAACGCCCACCCAGCTCCCTCAAACGACTCGACTTCACCAAAATCCCCCGTGTAAAAATGGTCCCCAGCTGGATTGAACGATCTGTAAACCGGCACAGCGCAAGGCAAGGGCCCCTCGTACACCCAGCACTCCACCCCCTCCTCCGTGTAGTTCTGCCCTCGGTGCAGGGCATCGCGCTCACTCACGTCCACCGTGTAAAAGTGATTGCGCTGGCCGGCGTCTGGCCGGAACAGCCGATACAAGGGCACTGTGGAGGGGCGCTGGGCTGCGAAGCACTTGCCGAGGAGACCCTCGTGGGTGAAGCCCAGGCGGTCGCGCGCGTTGACCGCCTCAGGGAGGTGCGCCGTGTAAAAGTGGTCGAACCAGGCGGGGGAAGGGTTCCACAGGCGGTGGAGGTTGACCAGCTGGTCGTCTTCCGGGCCGTCGCAGTCGTCTTCTGGAGAGCGCGCATGAGAATGGGTGGATTAACAGAGGCGCGGGGGACATGAGCGCATGGGGATTCGAACACCGTTTGAAGCAGCGTTTGGCAAAAACACCGAATTAGACTGCAGAAGGGTTTGTGTGGGAAGGTACACGATGCGACACCACAGTAACGCACGGGTGATCCACAATTCTGAAAAGGCAATCGGTGTTGAAGCCGTGTGAGACATTCCGTGAAACAGGTGAATTTCTCAAGCGGAAGGACGGGGGATTACTATTTTTGTACACCCATTATATTGTGCGTAATTCAGACCCGCCCTTCATCGCCCTGCAGGTGCCAGGGCCTCGTGTCCGCTACGCAGACGCAGTCAAACGAACGAGGCCGCATTTCAACCAGGAAATCTGCACAGCTCGGCACGCTGAGCTGCACCGTTTCCAATGCTGTTTACCATACCGCAGTGTATTCAAAACTTCCACATAGTTACGTAACACTTGACCTTTTCTTTGCCGAGAATACAATAAACTAAGTACCGCACTTTTAATGAAACTTTTGTCGAACAATGTAAAAAATAACAAAAAAAAATCTCTGAAGAAAATGCGGAGCAAAAAGCGTAATTGTAAAAGTTTCCGATGCGGAAGGGTTGAATGTACTATGTTATATTGTATACCATGTATACCGTATACATACCTTTTGGTATACTGTATACCATGTATATCCTATACATACCTTTTGGTATACTGTATAATATGTATATCCTATACATACCTTTTGGTATACTGTATACCATGTATACCGTATACATACCTTTTGGTATACTGTATACCATGTATACCGTATACATGCCACACATTCCCACAACACTGCACAGACGGCGGGGTTTTTGTTGTTGAAGCGCCACGCATCCAGATTCGCGGTCGATTGGTAGATGCCCAATTGTCCAGGAGAATACATTAATCCCTCTGTCTTTTCCGTGAGGATCCTTCTTCTCCCGCGGACAAGGCCAACGTGGGTCAGTGGGTCAGTGGCTTGGGGTTTAGTTGTCGAAACAGGAAGGGGTCTTCACGGAAAAGGCAGAGGGGATAATTGGGTGCCGGGTCAGTGGGTCAGTGTTTTGTTTTCGGGTTTAGGGCGTCGAAACAAGAAGGGGTCTTCGCGGAAAAGGCAGAGCGGCTAATTTCATGCCATTATCCTGTCGCTTCCAGCTGCGCCCGTCCGACCATTCACGCGCCCTCGGCCACCTCCGATTCCTCCGACGGCACCGCCGCGCGACTCCTCTCACCAAAACCGCTGCCTCTCTCGCGCTGCAGCCCCTCCCCCCTTTCCCCCGCCCCAAACCAGCTATGCCCATTCATCGCCATCAGTGTCTAGAATCCTCAGCCGAATCTAGAAGGGAAGGATTTCGAATCCCCGCGATCGGCGGCTCCCGGCACCCACCGCGGGCCGCCCCCTCCAGCTCCACGGCGGCCGCCAGCAGCGCGGCCAGGGCCATCGCCGCGATGCCCGCCCTGCCCATCCCCGCCACCCGCCGGACCGACTCGCACGGGAGGATCTGGCGATTTCGCCTCGCCCAGCAATTCGAAAAGATCGATGGGATCGAAGGGATGCCTCTGGATGCCGCAAAGATGTTCGGAAGGGGCATGCGGAGTTTTGCTGTCCGGTGGGAAAAGCAAAGCTTGCTTTGCGGACCCTTCTGCGTCTGCGCCCGGGGCCGCGCGGGTTGCGCTGGCGCTCGTGGCTTCGCGAACCGTATGCGGGATTAGTAATGGGGGTGCCAGATACCGTGGGGAAAGGTGGGCGGCTTGCGGCGGAGAGGGACGATTTGGTGACGATTTGATTGATTTGGTGACAATTTGATTGGTTGTGGGCATCGATTCTTCCAAGGGGCGACGGGCGGCTCGTCGCCATGGGCCGTTTTGGTGGGGATCTTGGACGTTGGTCCACATCTGGGAAAGCAGTAGACGTCGACGAAATTGTATACCGCATAACACATAATGCACAAAAATTTTGTGGCTGCATTGCCATTGATGCTGACGAAGTCAGGCAGGGCCGAGGGATGACGGCCCCTGCACGGGGACCATGGGTCCGAGTTCACGGCAGCGGTTTACAGCGGAGCAAACGGACAACAGGAATTCTGTCCCTTGTGTCCTGTCCGTTCATCAATGTCCTTAACCCAAATCCTACTGCGTCATCACCTCTTTATGCGTCCAACTGTTAACAATACTCAATCAGTTCCAGTCATGACTAAGCAAGCATTTCACAAATCACTTCATGACTGCTCTGGACTGGATGTTGCCGCTTTCGAATGTGCGGGCCCAATGTTAAGCCGGTACGAACGGATCGCAGCACGACGGACTGGCCCCTCGGAGGGTGCCCGGTGGCGCAGTCACACGGTCAGTAACCCTTAGCCTTCGCTGTCGATGGCTCTGGAATGAGCCGCAGTGCTTGTCACACATAGCATTGTTTTGCATGGCATCTGGCAGGCCAGTCCGCCCGAAGACCGCCATCTCAATCGAACATTCCACTGGGTGCCCCAGCTATTCTCGCTTGGCCAATTCCCTACAAAACCCATCGATCTTCCCCCGTCCATACCAATTCCGCAACTAATACCAATTCTTACCCGCTTCCCAACCGCAAACCTCCAGGCCAGCGCCCTGGACCCGTCCGCCCGCCGACGTTCCTAGGGTCCCTACCCGCAGCCCATCTCCCTCACTCCCTCCTCTACCGCCTCTACCGCAGCTCCCTCCAACTGCCCCACTAACTATGTGTCCCCTTCCCATTCGTTCTTTAACTGCGCCTCGATCGTTCTTCCGTGCCATCTGAGAGCTTCATCCCCACACCCCTCCCTGGACGGAACGCTGTCTTGGAAGCAGGAGCGCGCCCTTGGATGGCCCTTGAGGCCTCGCGCCCCCGCAGCTGACCCGCGGGGACGCCTGCCCTCGGCCGGCCGAAGCGAGGCTTGGGCCCATTCAGGCGCCCTCCGTCGACAACCCACCTCGCTCCGCTGGTGGGCTCCCAGCACGGTGTCGGCGCGCCTGCCCCAGCCTGCCCATCTCCGCGGGACTCTCGATCCGGGTTCGATCGTCAGCTTCTTGGAAAGTCGTAGATTTGGCCCCTGTGGATTGTTCCCGTGGCTGCGTGCTTGGAGCTGGATTGGAGGCGTCTGTGGGCGTTGTCCGTGCTGCCGCGGCATGTCATGCTCGTTTGCCGGCTCGGCGCCGGCCTTCTGGAGTCTGCAGGCGTCGCTCCGCATGCGAAGTCTGGTAATTCGAGACTTGGAGGTGCTGTTGTCAGCTTGTTGCCCACGAACGGCCATCGAATCGAGATGCCAAGTGGCTGTAACCATCCAGATTGGAACTCGTAGGTGACCTCGAAGCTGCCGGGAACGTGGCCTCCCCCGGCCAACACCTTTGGGGTCTTCCCTCTCCGCCTAAGAGGCCTGCCCGCAGGTGAGAGGCAGAGTGCATTGCCGGAGCTGTTGCTGTGTGATTCCAAACATTGCAGCACAATGAGCGGATCAGGTTCAGGTCCCATCCAACAGAAGAGGTGCGAGCTTTCCACCACATCGCAAGGCAGTGCTATGCAAGGCTGCAATGCTGCAGTGACTGTGATCTGCTGCAGGCGACCACACGGAAATTCACCACCGAATTGCCTTATCTTTCCTTCCCACATCACATCTCACACACATTCACAACCTGGAATCTCATCCACCTTGGTAAGGGCCAACGTAAGAGGCCCTTATGGAGTTATAATCAAAGAGACAGCCTACGGAGATTCCATCTGGCTTTGCCCTCCTTGGATTGGTGATTGCCCAGGGAAAAATGCCTCATCTGTGTTTAAGGATTATTTGCCCATGATCCAGCTTTGATGGGCCCATTCTGGAGCACAGTCGATGCACAGTACAAATTCTCCACTACTGCGTTTCCCTTCATAGTGCTTGGAGGGCAAGTCAATGCACCTTTTAAATAGTCACAACAAAGTCAAAACAAAATGAAGTGAGAAGACAAAACAATGTACTTGACAAATGCGCATCTGCATGTCATGCTGAGCTGGCAATGGATTTTCCTGGCAAAAAAATTGTTTCCTGGCAAAAAGTGTATTGACTGAACAGATGTAGGTCATAAGCCTGGGCACGTGCCTGCTCTGAGGACACAGTTTTTAGGCATTGGTTTCCTTTAGGGCTGACATGTTGCCAAAAATTTTGGGGCTGTTGAGGTGCATCCTCATGCCCTCATCAAATTAGGACAGCATTGAGAATGGCAGCTGCGGCAGAAATGATTCCTTGTAGATGCCTCTGACAGAATATAAATGTTGCAAGCTCTTTGCTCAAAACTCTATCTCACAAGCAGCACAGTACCCTGGCTTCAGGGCGTAGTGTACAAAAACAACTGCATCAATAACTTGGCTCACAAACTCAGCAACAAGCTTGTAGCGCAAATTGAATGCCAATGGCATCAGGATGCCACCCCACCTGGTCTTGCCAGTCCCGCACCTGGGATGGCAGCCATCAAATGCACAGATGTGCAAAGTGGACAGGCCGAGCGTGCAGTAGGTTGCACAGGGCTTGTCCACCACATGCAGCAGGGCAACACAGTGGAAACCAATGTCAAAAAATGTGCCCTCAGAGCAGGCTCATGCCCAAGACTTACGACCCACATCTGTTCAGTCAATACTGGGCATTGCACCTCTGCTTGTGCGGCCAAGACAGTCCAGTTCTGGTAGATTTGTCTGAAAACAATAGAGGTGAAGATTGTGCCTATGTGTGCATAAAGGCACCTTTTTTTTCCCAGGAGGGGCTCAAGAGCCCCAAATTTATCACCATGGTTGGGATCAATCGTGGCATTGATGCAACTGTCCTCAAGCACATTGCAACTGTCGATCCAGTTCTTTTTCTGGCAGTTGTGAATGAAGTATGAGCGCACCCTGAACAACTGTATTTGTACATCGCTGACATTCTGGCATGCCATAGGCCTTGCTGTTCTAAACATGGCTGCAGCAGTGGAGATCATCAAGAGCATCAAGGAGGAGATAAAGTTGGCAACGGAGAGCCTTCCAGCGGTGAGGTACAACTCAAGAATGCTGCAGTTTCTATGTCAGCAGCTGGGCAAAGTCAAGGACGCCCTTCTAAATCCGGCCATGAGCATGACAGAAAAGGCTTTGGGCGACCTGAAGGATGCCGTGGAGCAGGGTTCGCACCTCGTTCGGCGGCATGCCGAAGTATTCAAGGTGGAGAATTTCTACAAGATCAAAGATGTGCGGCACATGGTCCAGATGACGTGCGAGAAACTTGCCACATGCTTTGACCATTTGCGTATGCAGCAGCAGGTGGATGTGCAGGTCAGCATGAGTGAGGACATCGTGCAGGATGACAGGAACTACATGTACTGGTACCTGACCTGCATACTGGAAGGCAAGAGGGTGGACAGGCAGCTCCCCGACAGGCTGAAGATGGAGCTGGAAATGCAAATCAGCGACCACAGATGTTATATGAAGTATGTGAACTGGATTGAGGAAAGAAAACTTGAGAAGAGGGGGAGGATCGGTGCAGGTGTGCCACTGCTTTTGCATCATGTCGGGTTTGCAATGTGGATGCATGGATGATTTCAGATGGCTGAGTGCAATATTGCACATCTGAATGTAACAAACTGTTGAGTAGAGTGGGCCAAAGTCCTTGTGCTTGTAACTTTGGCCTTATGCCACTGTGCCCAAGAAGGTGCTTTGTATATCGATATATAAAGGAGCAAAGAATTGATCAGTGAACACAATTGGCAATATTGAAAAGCACTCTTGAAGGAACAGCTTTGACAGTGAGGAGGCAGTCTGTTTCATTATGTGCTGTGTGCACTCTGTGAGGGCTCCTCCTTTTGCATTGGACTTTTCTGGTGTGCAAAATGATCATCTTGAAACAGTGAGCAAATGCTGATGGCATCTTGCTGCACCCAGCTCTGCCTGCAAGGTGCAGGGGGTTTTCTCACATGACATGACATTTTGGGCAACTGCCTAATCGGAATATTATGTCCAATATGTTGGCTCAATTGCCCCCTGAACCCCAGCAGTTAGTAGAGCCTGGGACTGGTGCAGGTGGCGAGGGAGACATCGAAATGGCATTGTGGAATGGCCACACAGTGGCTGTGAAGACTCACCGGAAAGATCTCAGCCCTGAGGCACGTGCAGAATTCATCACTGAGGTTGAAATCCACACCCGAATGAATCACCCCAACGTCGTCCGCTGCTGGGGAGCCACACCATCCAATGCGATCGTCATGGAGCTGGCTGAATTCGATTTGGAAAGGTTGTTGGAAAAGCAAGGCCCTGCTCAGCCCTGGCAGTGGAAGGTGGGCACGATGAAGAGCGCCTCCGCAGGCCTCAGGTACCTGCATGACAACCGGGTGGTCCACAGGGATGTCAAGTGCTCCAATTTCTTGGTGTTCAACGTGGACAGGGCCAGTGGCCCGATCATCAAGATCGGCGACTTCGGGCTCGCACTTGCGAAGACGGAAACGAGGTCCAAGACGGCCAGGCCGCTGATGGGCACACTCCTTTGGATGGCCCCTGAGATTCATGACGGCCAACCACACAGCTTCAGGTCCGACGTGTTCAGCTTCGGGCTGGTGCTGTACATGATCGCCTCAGGCTGCCAGCCTTATGGGGGAATCAGCCACCATGAGCAGCTGCTAAAGGGGAAGAAGAAGAAGAAGGGCCATGGGCCATGCTTGCTGCCCAACGACTGCCCGAAAAGGCTGGCAGATCTCCTGGGCGAGTGCATATCGGTGGACAGCCGAGAGCGGCCCACAATGGCAAAGGTAGACAGCAACTTGCAAAAGATCCTGGAAGAGGTGGGTGCCAGCTGTCCTGGGGGCTTCCAATATGCTGCTCTGCGCTTTGAGATTCCAGTTGCCAGCCCTGTGCAGACAGAAGAGATGTGGGGGCTATGCCACCCAACGGGAAAGTGCAGGGCGATGTGGAGGTTAAAAGAGTGCTCACATAAGCGGGTTGGGGCACCTCGGAGAAAGAGCTCTGCATTAGAACAGCACAAGCCTTGTGCTGCGTTGTTGGGCACCACACATTTTTTGCAGGCCGCCTGACCTCTATGTGAATCCAAGAACGACGTGGGCAAATGAATGAACAAATGAATAAGAACAATGGTATAACAAGGAAGTCTTGCAACAGAAAGCAACTGCATAGGCCATCACAAGAGCACAGCTTGCCAAATGACAGCTACTTTGCAGCGCGTGTTCTGCGACAAATCGTGAGGAACTGCATATGCATTGCAATTGTTTTGTGTTGTGTGCATGTTCAGTGTTGCATACATATCATGTTGGGAATGACGGCTTGGGGACATAGAACGTACACTGATTGGACATTTCTGCATTCCTGATTGCTTACAAGATGCACTGACTTTGTCATGGCGGTCCTTTAACTAATGCAGTCACTGGAATTGCCCTGCATTTTGGCATTTCCCATTGCACGGCTTTGCCCCAACGTTCCAACCTGCAAATTTTGATGATCAAGCCAATGACTTGAGGAGTCCTCCCTTGCATTGGGGCCCCAATCTTCGTTGCGTTCATCCATGGTGAATATGATGCTCAAGTCCTTTTTGATAATCAAGTCTGCAAGCAAACCGCATTGTGCGATATCAGTTGCACTCGTGCATTGACCATCGCTCAAAAGTCCGTTGTTCAGGCTCTTGGTGCACAAAGAGACTACTGCATCGTGTTCAAAGCGCAGGAAGAAGTATGTAAACAGGAAGCTTGGCAGAAGTCGTAGAAAGCGGTGTATGTGCTGATATTGGTATTGCAGGATAAAGATGGTGCAAGGAAAAATAGGAAAGAAGAAAGAATACAAAGTTATTGATCAAGGGGTTCCCCCCCAGTGCTTGACGCATGTCGCTCCATTAGAAACCAACCTTGGGCGTTGCTCACATGTACATTGTGTGTTTTGTTGCCCAGTGCCAGCGTACTCCAGCAACCACGTCAACGAGTGAAGACGTTGAAATGGAGGAGGCTCCCACGAGAAGCGATTGTTCGTACTAGATGTGTGAATGATTGCGGTCAATCGGTTCGTTGGCATGGCGCAGTGACTCTGGCTTGCTTAGGGGTGCTGCTCGCCTCGGTTCGGTGATTGGTCTGCCAGAGCTAACAGCACTTTCTTGTTGAGACATGGTCGAACACTTTGTTGCACAGCAACAGGATGGATCGTGAGTCTCAATCGCAAGTTTGTGCTCAGACTAGGACAGCGTTTGGGTGTGCACAGTACCCTTTACCGCGGGTGCTTCTTGCAGATTGGCGGAGTTGTGAGTGAAGTAATGGGATTCCTGTTGCACGCGCACCAGTATTGAATGTTTGGAGCGCGGATACTCCATCAGTCGGGACATGCCCAGACTGATTGGCAAATGGTGCACTCCGATGTGAAGGGCAGCACCAAGAGCCTGTGCAGATGACGCGATTCAGTTGAATTCTGTTTCCGCTTACAATGCCATACAGCATTACTCAATAACGAAGTGGATTGAAGGCGGAGTTATGCTGTGTTAACGACGAGCTGTTCTCAGCGGTCAGCACCTCTGGCAATCCCATCCTGGCCACCCTATCGCAGTTGCAAATATGTCCTTTTTGCATGAGTGCCTGCATGAGCCTTTATCTAGCACAGTAAATGGCACATTATGCTATACAGTAACAATTTACAAAAGTCGTAAGCCCGCGGTAAAATTCGTGCATAAGGGCGGTTTGGCCACTTAAACAGAGGGTGCATATCATCCAGCTGGACATGCCAAACCCACTATAAACAACCAGAAGCAGGCTCGTCGTTTACGGGCTGGACACGTTTATCTCAGGATTTGTGCGTTAAATTGTGCTACGTTTTTTTGGCGCAAAATTTCGTAAATGCAGGCCTTTGTACATAAAGACAGTACCCACAGACTCGGGGAGTCCGTGGAGTGGCATACAGACGCGTTGGAGTGGACAGAAACGACCTTTTCTTGACGATCTCGTTGCTCTTGCTGTGGGCGAGGTGGATGCTGTGTTGCGGGGGTGGAGGATTGATCATTGTGTTCAACTTCATATTGTGACCTGGCTGCCTCGACGCGCCACAACAGTACGTCAGTATAGCCATAAAACTAGCCGTTTCTGTGTTCACACATATTGAAGCGCAACAACATAAACGAAAAAGCGATGCTGTTAGCGTAAACGACAAGCCTGCCGAGGAGCAACAACACACGCCTGTGCACCTTTGGCACAAGTCTTTTGGCCAAAACCCGAGGTTATGGTCAACTGCACAACCGAATGCACAACCCTAGGATGCAGAGTTTCCAGAGAAGCTGCGTTGCACAACACCACACACCCTGGAATGCATCTTCAAGTTTGAATATGCCGTCTAAGATTCAGCAGATTGCTTAAAGAGGGGAGGAATCCTCGTAGTCCACACGTTGTATGGATTTCGTACTGCGCAATTGTCCCCTACGCACTCAAACTGCAAACGGCCCTGGCGGTGTAAAAATACTCTGAGCAGTATACATTTCCCAAGAAACTATCATGATCACAGACTGCATTGATGTTGAACAACTGTCCATTGAGGGCATCAATTTATGTGGTCCACCTGGTCTATGCAAGACATGATGTAGTACAGGACTAGTAGGACTACAACCTGTGTAGGGCTGCAACGTCCTACAGTGGTCCTGCCACTGACATTGCAAAACCGCACACTGAAATACACAATTTTTATATGTATTACATGACTTAAAAGCAATTTGCATGCTGTTTGGCACTACGCTCAAGCTTTTCACTTGCTCATCTCTTGTGCATAGTGTGTCAGCACTTGGATAGTCAAGCCCAATTACAAAACTGAAACCCTATTGGATGACAGCCAATGAGCAGGTTTACGATTAGCTGCGTGTTTTCATGTCTTTCTCAGCGCTATGCTCACCATCATACCTACCATCACAATCCCGAAAATTCTCCAATGAGCAGGGAGAAAGCAAGACCAATGATAATTGGCTTTTACATGCCACAAACCAAAAATCATCAACAAAAAAGAAATATCTGTTCTTTCTTAGCCATGGCATCCACATTGAGCCCATGCAGATTCCCTTCACCACCATTCAATCAGCACCTTATAGCAGCATCACCAGCAGCCTTAAACCTGGAAACAAGCTTGACTCAGAAATCCGAGTGCCTAACAACCCGAATGGATCATGTGAAAAACACATGATCCCGTTCAGTTCCAAATGTTTGCCTCACAGACAGCGAACCTATTGAGGTTAGTTTCTCCATGATTTTGCTGTCAACTCCATCACACAGAGCAGCAGTAAGAGATCTCAGTGCTGGCAAGGCATTCAGATTAGTCAAGGCCCCAGGTGACACCATACTGCAGCATGTGAAAGTCAAAGACGTCAGTGACTTCAGGCAACACAAGTCGAGAATATCCTCACTCGTGACCTTGAAACAACGGAGGCTGAGACGCCTAAGAGACGTCAAGTGCTGAATGTGCTCAAGGACAGTGCCAGCAGGGCATCGGAAATCGCTCAGACCCAAATGCAAGCTTGTCAGAGCCGACAGATGTTTCAACCAGTCCATGCTGCCGCTGTAGCTGTACGTTTCTGTGGTGTCGAATGGTCTGTCCAACTCCAGCACTTCCAGCCTGGTGACCATCCCAATTTGCTCATAGCCACAAGATGACAAGTATTGCATGAAGTTGGGTTGAAGGCTCAGGCACCTTAGATGCTCCAACGACTGCAGCCAATCAAAATCTGCATGTTCCATGTTTCCCCCCTTGAGCACAATGCGCCTCAAACTGCCAAGTCTCCTCAGATGGGGAACACAACGGGCCTTGGATGTCATATTATGGGCCATTGTCAGCTGCTCAACGTTGGGGAATTTTACGGCCACAACTTCCAACATCTCAAAACACTTCAATGTTTTAAAAAAGCGCTCTCTGCTACGCCTTGCAGCATTGGTCCCTGACGCCAACCATTTTGCTTCAACGCCATTGACCCCTGATGGACGCCGATCCGTTTTGAAACACACTGTCCCAATGTTCACCAAGTGGCACCTCATAGGTATCGTCACACAGCGAACCACTCTGTTTGCCCATGCACACCAGTGCTTGTTCACCAACCTTGCAAATTTCACAAACTCTTGTGCAGTTTTTTTGCCATCTCTTGAGGCAAAGAGATCCCAAATAATGTTCATGACGTCATCAGGCGCCTCTCCCCATCCCACTAGGGGGTGGCCATCACTGGCAGAAAATGGACAACAAATTATAGTTACTATCACACCATATGTTCATGTCCCACTATATCCTAACATATGAACATCTTCTCTAGCAGTGTTGGTACAAGTCCACAGCACTGAGTATTAAACCTTGCGCCCAGTTTACCCACAAAGGGAATTTCCAGGGATTTACAATACACAATCACAACATTTCAGAAGGGGGCAAAAACAGGGAGCTGTATGCAAAAAACTTCTTCTGAGTCTTGTCCTTTTGGCAGAATTTGCTGTTTTTGCAGGCCTGTTGCAAAACTGTGCGAAATATTTGATGGTCTAAGTGCAGCCCAAGACACCAACCAGGCAGTTTGCAAATCAATTGTGTGCATTATGAATCAAAAGCTACATACAACACAGTACTTCCAGGGCAGAAGTGAGAACCTGCACAATGCACAGAATGTATAAGAATTCTACATGCGCACTTAAATTCAACAAAGCTACCATGGATCATGGAGGAAAGAGCGGATTGGGTGGGGACATCCCGCATGGTTCGACATTCTTGTCCACTGTCACAGGGTGCAGCAATACAGTTTATGAAGCCATAGAATTGTTACTGTGATGCCCAGACACCTGCCCTGACTGTGATGCCCTTACTGTGATTGGCATTGTATTTTGCATTGGTCTGTATTGTATTCAGTTCACCGTGGGCTGGTATGATTTGTCAATGGATGTGACAATGCAAAGGGGCATGTTGTTGGTTCAGCAACCTGACGAAGAGTGCTGGGGGCTCACAAGACAGTGCAATGGCACATGAGATAGTGGCTGGCTCATTCTTAACGCCAGGCATGCTGCTTCATGTGAGAGGGCTGCCATTTTCCATGATCGATGGCACTGTGCTTAAGATGCAATGTGCAGACAAAGTCACAGGCAAGATATCAGAAATCGTGAGTAGATTCTACTCACAACGACTTAGATACCTGGGTTTGGGGCATTGAATTGCAAGAGCCCTTTCTGCGGCACAAGAAACTTTCGTGCATCCGCAATGTAACTCTCTTGAACTATTCAAACATGTCTGGCAAACAAGGAAAAATTCAAATCTGCAGATCATCGAGTTCCAGCAAGCAGACACAGCACAAAAAGGTACTTTTCAGCAATCTGTTGCAATGATGCACACATTTTCACGTGAATTGACAATACAATTCCGTCATTTGACTCAAATATCTAATGTTGCATGAGGAAATGGAGTCCTTATAGTTGCCTTGCCTATTTCCTGTTGACATGGTCAATGTCGAGTTCTTTGGTTCCTTGACGTTTGCTCTTCTGCACAGCTATGCCTTGGTGACTTTGACCCTCAGCTTCAGTCTTGCAGTACTGGTTAATACATGGACAAATTGTCAATGACAATGTCAATGACAATGACAATGACAATGCCTGCATAAACATGGAAATGCTGCACAACTCCAACACTGGCAACTGTTCCCAGTATATGGGTGCAACAACAACAACATTGTTGTCAACTGTTACACCATTTTTTCCATCCAAATTGCACAGTTGCTGGTTGCAACAAATGCAGCACATGTTGGTTGCAATTTCCAATAGATTCAGGCATCGCATCAACAAAATGTAAGATATTTGAGCTTAAACATGTTTTGGACACCCTTTCAAGAAATGCTGCTACAAGACTTAGCACTTCACCATCTCCCCAAGGCCAAATTGACCCTGTCAATTGAGCAGTGGTATGGGCCTAGGGAGGAGGAAGAAAACATATCATTAAACTGTCTAGGAAAAGAGCTATTTGCAGTGCCCATTCCTTGTGACACTCGTTTGACAAAGTTCGGCTTCTCATTACAAAGACCTGCCAAACATGACTTTGCCCATGGATTTTGGTTTAGCATGATGTGGTTTCCGGACACTATGAAAACTTTCAGAGGTTTCAGTACGTTGTTGAGTTGAACTCAATGACATTGACTAGTCAGTCAATTAGTAGTTGATCATGTCATAAGTCTGCATGCCCACCCACCTGCCAACCCCACAAAAGCCCTCAAAGGCAAGCAAATTAACCATGCAAAGAAGGAATGAAATCAAAAGGAAGCTCAGCACCAACACATTCACATCATGCCCATGTACACCTTTACTTCACTACAACAACATTGCTGATAGTCTGTTGTAACAAATATGCCGCCATTCATTTCCAATATAATCCTCAAATTTGCAGCTTGCTTGCAGCGCACCTTTTGGCTTTGGTCAAAGCCTCTTGTTGGTCTAGGGGCTGAAGGCTGTGCAAATTGCTGTTCCTGCACCCCAAAGTCGAAATCTTTAATCCATGATACTGCCAAGCGTTGGGGTCTGAAGTCCTATGTTATTACAGTCCTGAGTATAACTTTCTGTGAGCACAGAGTGGGATGGGCACTGCAATGAAGTGCAAAGAGCAGCTGCTGCCTGTACCAATCTTGATGTTTTATCAAGACTTGATCAGATTTATCTTTTGATTATGCCAGTAGTATAACAGTGGCATTCCTGTACTATCAGCACTAATGCTTGTCATGCAACATTATCACAAAGAGCACTAGCATTTATGCACATGGATTCATGCTGGGTCTGTCACATACTGTGTCGAGACTGTTGGGAACTTTCATTGGATACTGCCATAAGATACACTGGGGTATCTTGGGTTGCGTGACAGGGTGAGGCATCCAGCAGATTCCCCTGAGCGCTATCACTTACTGCATCACGCCAGGCACGATCGTGCACGTGGCGTCACACAATCCAAGGTACTTGCTGGATATTCAGATGTTTCAAGATACCACATCAATGTCAGTGTATTTGGCAGTTGCCCCTTGCAAGAGTGAAGGTCTGCATGACGAGATACGGCATGCTTGCAATATGATCGTCACAAGCTAGGAAAGAGGTTGAAAGATGTTCAGCACAACATCCAATGTAGATCATACAATTTGTCTGGTAACCTAAGGGCATGCATTTGGATGACCATGCTTCCAACTTAGGAATGGAGTTTGGTCTGGCGATGATAATGTGCTTCAAAATCTATGTCTGTGCACCTGAGACTACAACATTACCAAGGTGTTACGCTTGCAGCTAGCTACTTAGGGTACCACACATACTTGCCCTGAGCAAATGCCTACACAGTGACTCATTCTGCTTGTTGCCTGAGCATTGAGAACTATTTGCCCCTCCTCACTGCAATTGCAGCCCCCCTCAAATGGAATCAGCAATTCCACACGAAACAAGACTGAATTATTGCACCTACATTGCACCTTTTCTGCCTGGTATTCTCCTCCAGTGACTGAGTGATTTTGGGACCTAATCAGGGGAATCTGGAGTCAGAAAATAACACGATCACCAGCAATGCAAATGTGCCTATGCTGCTATCGTTTGTCACACTCTCAGGCGATCGGGGCTTTGTAGCATAGGTAAATGTAGGCATTTGGTAAAATGCGGCATAAAATGTTCTGAATTGCAAGTGAGATTGCCACAAGACATGCTGCGATTCTGTTACAAGACTGCTATCTCAAGGACTCACTTATGTGCACCTCTTTAGCTCATTTTTGCTCTCTTAATGAGGTATTTCATTGGTGTCTCTTGCATCAGTGAAATCTGCCACTACTTTGTGATTATATATCTTGCTAAGGGGGTGAGAACCATTGCGTGATATGTGGCTTTTTGTTCAGTGACATCTCCAGCATCTATTGCCGTAACGATGACTGTGCATCAACCCGAACCAGAGTGCCAATGGGTCATCCTCATGGTTGCATTACTTGCATATACATTACAGATCGCTGCCGTTGAATCTTTGCAGTTAGTTTGCAGACATTCCATGAAACAGTTCTTACAACCCTCTATGAGTGCATGTTATGTTGGTCTATGTAACAACTGCAAGCAAAACATACTGCAATACAAGCAATACAAACTGTTCTGTATTTTGCGCTTCCTGCTGCACTCTGAGACTTTCACATCATGTTTCACAGTATATAAAAGGTACTCACACAACTTTCTATCAGGAGGGTGGCACACATCTGTTTGTCATTTTTCAATTTCCATATGCTGCATCCATTGCCCATTCAACCTGTGGGTGATGCTCCGCTTATTGCAAGGAATATGCTTCGTCCGGAGTGTGTTTTTGCTCCCACTGCCCCCCATTTGTGCAACAGACTACTAGTGAGACAAGCTCTCTTTGTCGCAATCGCTGCAGGAAATCAAGAATCTTGGGGCTGCCTGCCATGACATGGGGCCGTAAAGCTGGAGCTCATATTTCCCAATCTGCCATAACTTGATTTCTAATGTCCTTGCATGGATTCGCACGAAACGCAAGAGGAAAAGAGAAAGCAGATGGTCCACAGCCGGTGCCTTCTCGTCCCGCAGCAATCCAAAAGAGCCTTGACTTGATGCCAGCCCTGCCTGCCATTCCCCTCCGCAAGGGGCTCACCGCAGACACGGGTTCTCTCAAGCGCCCCCCACCCCTGACTTCATCATTTTCCAGCGTGGAAGTGGGCCCCACATTCATTTTCTTCTGAGGATGCATGGCCTGTGCATGACATGCTCCCTTTGGTTTGTAACACATCTTGCCCCCACTCCCACCCCAAATCATCACCAATGCTGCGCTCGATTAGGTCAGTCAAGTCGTGCCATGATTGCAACCCTCACACCGCTTGCCCTACCTCTACCGTGCCGTGGATCCCTTCGCATTGATCGCGACGCAGCTCCCAGACGCGCGCCTTCTCTCCCGCCTGCACGCCGCTTCTCGTCCTCCTGTGCCCCCCAAGCCCACACACTTGTGTGCAATCACCTGCACCCCTGATCCGCCGAAGCTCACCCGGAGATGCCAGGCTGCCTGTGCGCCCTGATGGCGTCCACAGATGCGGAATGAGAGGGGGGGGGGGGGGGGGCGGCCGGTGGCCAGCGGGGTGGGGTGTGTTGGCCACTGGTGCAGCGGTCTTTCTGATTGGGGAAGGTGGCAGTGAGTGGTCTTATATTATGAAAGCTGGCAACGCAGGTGAGAGCACCCTGGAAATGAATTTCGTAGAGTCTGACACAGCGTTCTCGTGTAAAAATCGACTGTTCCGGTAATTGAAGGTCCACTTCGAAGGGCAAAGCCCTCACGCAGATGCGGGCGTTTGAACAGCGAGTCGGTGTTGTGAATGTCAGAGCGGAGCGAAAAGGCGCAAATTGCCGTGGCTCCCTCACATATATACATCATTGCAAGTACATCATACACAATTATTGTCCAAATTGTCCTCAAACCGCCCATCCATCACGGAATTCTGATCCCCGAACGTCCCAATCAATCTGCTAGCATCAATCAGACTACCACTCATTCAGATTTACAACGTATTGTGGCAACTATGCCCCACGCCCCTGGGCAATTCCCATAACATCTATTCCATTCACTATTCTTCAGAGATGTCATTTGGTCGTCATGAGGATCTTCCTCTTCAAATGACACAGGCCTCAAATTACCGCTTCAGTGCGCCTCCATGAACAATCTCCATGTCTTCGTGATTTGGTCATTGTCTCAGTGCCTTTGTAATAAGGCTTCAAAATCATGAACATTTCAGCGAATTGTTGTACCTCTTCAGATGACACAGGCCTCAAATTACCGCTTCAGTGCTCATCCATGACCAATCTCCATGTCCTCATGATTCGGTCATTGTCTCGGCGTCTTTGCAATAAGGCTTCAGATCATGAACATTTCGGCAAATTGTCATATCGCTAGGCATGCGGAGTCGCACTAGTCCAAGCCCGCCAAATGAAATGACCTTTCCAAGACCAATCTACGGCTGCACAAGCTTCCATCCTTTCTTCTTTTTTACTTGATTCTTCATCAAGACCAGCCAATCGACTCGAAATCGAGAGAGGTCAACAGCACTTCCAAACCGTTTCTTCATATATTCATTCACCATTGTTGTGACTCGCCCAGCCTCATCGCAAATAAAACCTACAATGCGTAAACGCTCTCCCAGATTGGTGATGTCCTCAAGGGCCTAGAAACGATCCTCAATAGAAGCCGTTGCCAAGGCCATGCTATTCACAACCGGTGACCTAGTGTTGCGGCCCCGTCGGCGGCCGCTGGTTTCCGGAGGCGTGGGGGTCGCCCTGCCCTGCGGCTCGGCTGTTGGAGGTCAGCCGGCTCTCTCCACCTCGGACGGTGGGCGTATCCGGGGCAGTCGAATCGGCGGTCGCGCGGTGGGCCCAATGCTCGACGGGGATCGATCCCCGGGGCCTGCTGTCGGTGAGAGGTGGCGGCGCAGCGCGGTGGTGGTTCGCTGGCTCGCGGGAGGCCAGAGAGTGGGCCAAAGATGTTACACGGATTCACAGCATGCGCGCGCACATATCGCATGCGCGATGCCCGATCGCGGGTCCATCGCGGTCACATCAAGACAAGACAAGTCAATGTGCGCGTCCAAGCACCAAGTCACCGTCCACCGTTCACCTACGATCGACCTAATGTCCTCTAATTCCAAGCATCTAACACCCGACCTCCTGGCCCCAAGTACTACGACTTCAGGAGGCCATATCTTCGCCGTTTCTTAACGGAATCGGGCGTTTAAAAGCTCATTGGAACCAGAAAGCTCTTAATAACGCTCACAAAAGTCGATTTGGCCAATTACGTAATTCTCACTCCAGAAATGTCAAATAACTGCCTTACCCCAAGTAGCCACGTCACATTACTCCCCCCTTGGGGTAGCTTTCGCCCCCGAAAGCACACTATCCCATACTAGTGTCTTCCTTGGGCTTGTCCCTCTTGATCATCTTCTGAAGCTCTCTGGAGTAGGTGAAATTTCCTGCCGGTATCCAGGAGGCATCGTCAATGCTCCACCCTGTCCATAACACCAAAAATTCCTTATGCCTCCTGCCACTGGGTCCTGCCCATCTCCATCGCAGCAGCTTCTCAACTTCGTACGGTTCATCAGCCTCTGGCTCGATCTTGGCGTCATCTGACTCCTGTGGGGTAGACCATCTGGACGATCTGAATGGTCTAAGCAAACTGGTGTGAAAGACGTTGTGAATCCTCCACCCCGCTGGTAGCTTCAATTCGTAGGCCACTGATCCCACCTGACGGACCACAGCAAATGGTCCTACGAACCGTCGCTTCAGTTTGCAAACAGGTGCATTCTTCAACTGTAGATGCTCTGTACTGAGTAGCACCTGTTCCCCACTATGAAACCTCTGCTCTCTGCGCCGCTGATCGGCCTGACGTTTCTGCCTTTGCTGAGCCTGATGAACTGATTGCATCGCCCTTCTGAATGTTTTCTTCATCCTGCTGACAAAGACGTTGACACCTTCAATGTTGGTCTGGTCTACATCCTTGATCAAATCCAACGGGGTCACTGGCTCAAAGCCATAGTTCAGATAAAAGGGTGTGTACCCCGTGGATGGCGATGCGCTGCTGTTGATCATGAATTCCACCATGGGCAAGTATCTCTCCCAATGAGTGACTTCCTGACTGCCATGGATCGTACACCTGAGTACTTGCTCCACCACCCTGTTGGCTGCCTCTGTCTGTCCATCTGTCTGGGGGTGGTGAGCGCTGGACATCCTCAGCTTGCTGCCCAAAATCTTCCAGAATTCTTGCCAAAACTTCGACACAAATCTGGGATCTCGGTCACTGACGATCGATCTGGGGATCCCGTGAAGTCGTCCAATCTGTTCCCAGTAAACACGAGCTGTCTCAGCAGCAGTGATGGTCTGCTGGACTGGTACTAAGTGTACCATCTTGGTAGCTCGGTCTACCACCGTGAGGATCCCATCGTTTTTCTTCTCACTGACCGGTAGTCCCATGATGAAGTCGAGGCTGACATCACTCCATTTTTCCTCTGGAAGTTGCAATGGCTGAAGGAGTCCTGCTGGCAACTTGTGGACACTTTTCTCTGACTGGCAGACCTCACATCCCAGCACAAAGTCTCGTACATCCACTGTGTGATCTGGCCAGTAGAAATTCTGCTGTAACTTCTTGAGTGTCTTGTGGTAACCAAGATGTCCCGCATATGGTACTGTATGTATCTCTGCCATAATCTTCTTGCGGGCGTCCTCCACATCTGGTACCACCAATCTCCAAGGTTGCCTGTCCTCGGTGTTGTCCTTCCACTTGATCTCAATAAATCCATGGTTCAATCGGTAGTCACGATTCCCGATCCTGGTGACTCGTCCTTGGGCAGATTCCAACTGATTCAAAATTTCTGCCCATCTGTTGTCTTGCTTGTAGCCCTCTTTTATAGAGTTCCTCAAGTCTTCCTCCAGAGTAATCCTGGTGCTGGTCACCAATAAAGAATGTAAAGAATTTTGTTCCCCACTTGCAGCCACCACTGCACCCTCAGGACTGGACTTTTTAAATATTTCGTCCAGTTTCTTTTGAATATCGTTTTCCCCGCTGTCACCCTCATGAAGACGAAGACGCTGGACCAATGACTCCTCTTCTGCACGCACATCTGCCATGCACCTCAACTCCTGAATACTCCTGCGCGTCAGAAAATCTGCAGGGTTGTCCTTTCCTGGTATGTGGACAATATCGCAGTCGTAGCCCTGCAGAACCTGCACCCATTTCCACACCCTCCTGTTCACTGCAGGCTGGTTGGGCAGGTTTTTCAAGGAGTCATGATCTGTCTGAATGACGAAGTGGCGGCTGGCCAAATAGTGCCGCCATTTCCCAACAGCCCAAGTGATGCCCAGCAATTCTCGTTCGTATGCACTGTACCGGGTCTCGGCCGGGTTGAGCTTCCTACTCTCATAGCAAACGGGTTGCAACCCGTTGCCAAAGTCCTGTTGTAGTATACCACCCACTGAAACGCCTGATGCGTCTGTGGTAACCACAAACTCCCGGTCGAAATCCAGTAACTGCAGAACTGGTGCAGTCACCATGGCTGTCTTCAAGCGATTAAATGATTTTTCTGCTTCATCATTCCAAACGAAGGCCCTGTCCTTCTTCGTCAAGTCCGTCATAGGCGCTGCCAGCTCGCTGAACCACCGTATGAACTTGCGATAAAAACTGCACAGCCCCAGAAATGAACGGACGTCGGTAACATTCTCTGGTGTTGGCCAATTCAAAATCGCTTGGACTTTTGATAAGGATGGCTTGATCCCCTCAGCCCCCACATCAAAGCCCAAGTATTCCACCTCAGTTCTGAAGAAGTCACACTTCTTTAATCTTTCAAACAACTTCTCCGACCGTAGGCGGGTCAGAACTTCCCTGATGTGCTGTATGTGTTCCTCCTTTGTCCGGCTATAGATCAATATGTCATCCAGGAACACTAGCACAAACTGGTCCAAGCCTTCCCTCAAAATTGTGTTCATGATCCTCTGGAAGGTCGCTGGTGCGTTGCACAACCCGAATGGCATGACAAGATATTCAAAACTGCCATATCAACTCACAAAGGCTGTCTTGTGTACATCGGACTCTCTCACTCGGATCTGATGGTAACCTGAGGAGAGGTCAATCTTTGTGAAGTATTTAGCCCCGTGCAGTCGATCCAACAATTCTTCCACCTTTGGTAGTGGGTACCGATTTTTGACGGTTATTTTGTTCAAGGCCCTGTAATTGATGCACATCCTCCACTTGCCATCTTTTTTTGGTATAAATAGGATAGGTGCACCATACGGGCTGGAGCTCGGTCTGATCCACCCCTGTTCCAGCAATGTATCGATCTGACGCCGCAGTTCATCCAATTCCGCCGTACTCAGCCTGTACAGGCTTTTGTGCGGCGGTGCCTCTCCTGGCAGCGTATCAATCGCATGATCGACAATCCTCTTTGGTG